ATATTATTATTATTATTATTATTATTATTATTCATGTTATTTTCATCCTGCAGGCATATAACCTTGTTGAAACTATGGCCATTAGCAGCCAGGTTATGAATTCCCAAAATTACAAGTAAGCCGTCAATATTTGATAATTTGATATTGATATTACGCTCAGGTAAAAGTTTAAGTTGTCATATAAGCCAGACAACCCACTGTGTTAGAGATTATCTCCATTTTGTTATCATAAACCATTTGGGAGGTACTTTGCTACTTTTCCCTTTGCAGAAACCTCCACTAGTTTCCTACTCGTGTAAACAAACAAAACCCAATCATGGTATAGTTTAGCAAACTAGACCTTCCCTGCTTTTCAAATACCAGAAGAGCTGAGCAAGCGATATTTCAAGTCTCCTGATGTAACACGCAAATTGGTCTTAAATTTGAATAAAACCAAAAAGTATTGGTTTGGTACAGTTATGAAATACCAAAATGGGAAAATTGAACCAAAACCGAAAGAGAATAATCAAGAATCTGCTCACACAGCCCCCACATGAACATTAAATCGTACTTCAGACACTCAATATCGGCAATTTTGTTTCTTAATCTGGCAAGCCTTTGGACTCTGGACATAAAACTTGGACTTTAAATAAGCTTGTTTATTTGTTTTTGGTTTTTTTTTTTTTAATTAGATTAGTGCTAGAGGAGATTTACAAAGCTGGAGAAATAGATGCACGGAAATTACCGAGAAATTTCGAGAATTTATCTGCGCTAAAACAGGTAAAAGACAAATATATTGGATTGATATTGCGCTGCTAGGTAAACGAGACGTCGATAAGGTAATTTCTATCCAGCTGAATCTTCTGGAATGAATGATGTGGCTAAAGCGGTCTTTGACTTAATGGTTTAAAGGGGTAAACATTGGACTTTTTTGTACACCTAGAGAGGGGAAATGACACATAAAAGGGGCTAATCTGTTAGTTTTCCTGAGCGGACAAGATTAGTCTCCTCTGCCCACCCGCAGTTGGTCAACTTGTGTTGATCACAACACCTTAAGAATTCCCTTTATCTAGACCGCTCGGGAAGCCATTCGACAATATATATCGAGGTAGACATAATTTATCTTAGGCTAGTGGCCGGGGTGGTGTTACGGATAGGAATTGTCCTAAAACACAGAGTATACTTTTTCCATTTCCAGGTTGAAGCAGTCGTGAAGACTATTCCTAAGGACGTAATGGAAAAAGGGAAGAGAGTAACAGATAACATTCTGGATCAACTAAAATGGAAAGGGAAGACAAAACAACGCAATAAATGAACGCTATTTGTAAATTTTTTTTAGGAAAATGCCCTGCCCTAAGAACATGGAAATAATTGCACGTAAGGCTCACCTCACTGATGTGTCGCCAAGCCACGCGAAATCATGTGATTGCGCCAATTACGTGGCGGTCCCTCGGGGTTTCGAGATGGCTTTGATATTGGCCGGTGAAAGTCGGAAAATCAAACAGTCTTTTGTCGGAACTTTCTGAAAAGCTTAGCAGATTGCTTTCCGCTTTTTGCATGTGGTTATTCTTGGATCTGCACATTTTTGAAGAACAAATTTGTAAATAGAAAATTTTTTAGGATTACTACAAGTATACGGTGATAAGCAGGAAAATCAACGTTATAATTAAGGTAACAAAGGGGTCAGAAATATTAGAGTAAGCGTAACTGTATAACTAATTATTGAAGTTTTGAATTTTGCAGAAAAACCGATCTTTAAAGGGGAACTGTTTCTCTTTCGACTGCTCTTTAATGGATGATTACAGAGGCATATGGCATGATGAGAAATAATGCAGCCAGCTGAGGCCTACGGCCTCAGCTGGCTGCAATACTTC